TGCCCAGCATATCGTTTTTTCAGTGTAATACGCAATAAAGCAGAATGCAGTTGATGTTTTTTCGCCTACGAGCAAAGTTGTGATGTTAAGGTATTTTAGTGGTAATTAAAGCGGTAGCAATAATTCATTCAGATTAGGATCTGTCCTACAGGCATTTTGACGATTCAGTACTGAACTAACAGACACAAGCTTGATAGATAGGCACCAACAAAGTCACAAGCCATGGCAGAACCAAAATGTAAACTACAAGGCGCTTATTCAGAAGAGTTCAGAGATAGGGATGTTTCAAGGGAATAGTAAATCATACGACTCAACAAGATGACAAGCCCTCTCTAAATCACTATTCGTGGCGAATCGGCCTCTCTTCCCCGCCGTCTGCGTAGATGCGAACGTACCACGCATCAGGCCCGATGATCTGGAAGGTCAGCATGTCTCCGTTCTGCACGCCATGCTGCTTGACGAACTGCACCCATCCGTCTGTCAGGTACATGGAGTCGCCCCCATTCGTCACCCGATTCATCCAAGCAGACCACACACCATTGCCAGTCCAGAGCTTGATGTACCTTGGGCACGGCCCCTCCATTTGTTCCTCCCATCCGCCCGGTATCCTCATCCACGGCATCTGCTTGTTCTTCACCTTGAAGCGGAACGTGCTGTAGGAGGATTCACCGTGGAGACGTCCAACTTCTGCAGCTGCTCCGACGGATCCGGCAGCCCGTGCAGCGTGGCCCCTCCTCACCCGGCCAGCGATGCTATTCTCAACCTTCACCACGGCCCCGGCGCCCTGCTTTTTTCATTTTTGCAGAAGATGAAGCGTTAGAAAGGCCTTCACCGTCTTTTCGGTGTTTTCGCAAGAACTGGACCGGAACAGAGCACTTACATGACAAGCTGCACTGGTTGCCATCCTCTCGCCCACCAAGAGTCAGCTCCGCCGGAAGAATTTTTGCACAGCCTCCGGTGTTCTTTGTGGTGTGAGGAGCGGGCGGGGGAGGCGCTGGGAACGAACGGAGAGCCTTAATTATGTAGATACAGGAGGAGAACACAGGGGTCCAGGATAGTACAGCAAACCCCGAAGGTGAAACGGGCATTCAATCATTCATTGACCCAAAAACGAGTCGTCAGCCATCACCCTTCCCGGCAGCAGTTTTTGTTTGAATTCATTTCTTCATGCCAACAATCTTTGAAGTCTGACATTTCTCTCGCGGGGACAGAATAGTCGTTGTATACAGTCATTGACAAATCACAGTTTTTTTTACCCAAACACACGCAGTTTGTGTATAATAATGAAAAACAATTGACATTGTTTTGCAGTTTTAACATGGATCCCAACATGAAGCAGCTTCAAGGGACTCTGATTGACATAGAAACAGACGCGGAGCAACTTCTTCTGGCAAGGCATCAGGTCTGTCGGTGCTACTGGCTTTTGCTATTCATGCTAGAAGTCTCAGTATTGATTTGTTTTGATCTGTTCTGTGTATGATCAGCTAGTGGAGAACGATAGGATGAGGAATGCTAACAGGGAGGCCCTAACGGCCCTCCGGAAAAAAGCCAAGACAACTAAAACCAGTGTCCCATCTCCATTTGAGATCGTAATGAAAGAGATGGAAGGAACTTCCGCCAAACAGCTAGTGAAGGAGATATGCTCAACTTGCGGGAATCACGACCCCAAAGAACATACCTGGCTAATGTTTCCAGGCTCAGATATTTTGGCTCGTGTTCCATTTCATGTAGCGCACACTGTTCTGGATAAAGGTATTTACCTTCTTGGATCTTGATCCATGCAATCTGATTTATTTCAATTTACTACTGAAGTAGATTTGATATAGGTTTGCACCAACAACTCTGCCATCGATTTCAATATTCAGGTGGATCATGCTTTCAAAATTTATTCCCATGTGTTGTTAATCCACTATGAGGTTTAAATTAGCTATTGTATTTTGTTGTATTCACCAAAAGTCATTGTTGAGCTCAAGGATGTGGGCTTTCGATACCATCGGCACGTGAAGTAGTGATTGGAGTCGCTGTCTGCTCTGTTCTAAGCTTGCATTTTATCTGCAACCTCTTCTGAACGCAAACTGTTAACATGGTATTTTGCAAAAGCTTATTTAGCCAAATGCGTGAATTATCTTCAAAAATTATGTCTCTGATGTTCATGGTCTTGATTGTCACTGTTTTTGCTAAACTTTTGGGGATTTTTGTTTTCAAGAATATCTTGTTGTAGGACCGTTTCCACTTCAACGTTCAAAATTGGAACTCTTTCTGTTTGAACCCTCCATCAACTATATATATGCTTGTGTGCCCGAATGGAAGCACACCCGACGACGCACGAGCTGGTTCAAGCTCGTGGCGTGGCGGAGCCATGTGCGGTATGCACATTTAGCAACACCAAAATTGTGGAATCACAACTATATATATGCTTGTCTAGCTTGTTGAGATTGTGCTGATGATTGTGATATCCAAACAATGCAGATCAAGAGCATCTAGACTACGAGACCAAGAAGCTGCAAAGCTTTGTCAAGGAGAAATCGTTTGCGATCTCCGAGAAAGGCGCCCTCGCGGACAAGATCAGCCCGGGCATCGTGAGATCCCTCGTCAGCCTTGCAGATAAACCTAAGTAGTAGGCGCATGGCGCAAGAGGTGAATGAATCATGTCTGCCGTTCCCAGTCCTAGACAACTCGAATGTCTCCTGAGATGAAGCTCCCACCGGGTTCACCAACCGTGTTTATTAACAGTCCCAATGCATTTTTACCCGTGTCCCGGTTTGGTTTTGCCTTGCTGTGAGATTTGGTTGCTGCTACGAATGAGAGAAGTGTAGTCGATCGGCATTTAACCCTTGTTATCTATCATCACTAGGTGTGGTGTGTTGGCAAACCTGAGTCCTGAGCCTGAACCTGTTCCTGCACCCTGTTATCTTCATCCATATGAAGTTGTAACAGTATGTATGCCGGGAAAGGTTTTTTTTTTCTCTAAAATTGTGTACCCTTCTTAAGTGAGGACATGCTTATACGGTGGGCGGGAAAGGTCTTTTTTTCTCTTCGATGACATGTTTATCTGTGGGCTGTGGTGAATCTGAAATTCAAACGACGGTTTCCATGCGCAGGTAGGTATAGATATGAAGGACAAGTTGAGAAAGATGGGGAGGCACTAAGGATGAATGTGCCTGGACATGGAGATGGAGAGCCATGCGGTTGGCAGATATTGCGCTTTGCACCTGTAGGAGGCATATGCATGCACTGTATATAGAGCGGCAATGAGGTTGGCAACCTTCAATGGTGCGAAGGGCATGAGATATCTTGGCCTTTTGGTGTGAGGGGGAGGGGGAGGAGCCCAGCACAGCACTTTTTGCTGTATCTCTGGTAGCCAAGCCATGATCCGCTGTTTTCTGTAAGTAACTAACTGATGAAGTTTGCGATGATGATGATGATGATGATGCCTGGCTGTAGCTTCTTGAGAGCCTGTGCCATTCTTCTTCTTCTTCTGTCTGCATCATGCATCTGGTGCATACTGTGAGTAGCATCTTTTCTTTGTCGTTAAATGCGACTGATGCCAAGTCGTCGTCTTCTTTTGTTTTTCTAGGAGGATGGGAATTACTCCCTCCGTCCGAAAATACTTGTCATCAAAATGGATAAAAAAGGATGGAAAATGTTTTTCTAGCGAGGCAGACGTCTGCATCTGGCGGGTGGGCCTCGCCGGTGTCGGTGCGGCGGATTAGCTGATCAGATCCAACCCACCTCTCTGACTTAACGCAAATGCATTTCCTTAATTAAGTCCTTAAGGCTAAGCATGAGAAAGGGACGGCGATGGCCGGCATGCATCACATGACGACAGAGAGAGAGAGCCGAGGGCGCATGTGATCCCATACGTTGACGTCTCCGTTCGCTTGCTCGCCCGCTGATGTTAGTTAGCTGTACCAAACCCCAACGGTCCAGATCGTCCGTGCAGCGCAGCCGAGCATTAACGCACGTGCACGCCGCGGAAACAAAAACCAAAAACCAAAGCAATCAATGAATCTGGATGCAAACAAACATTGGATCTTTCTTTGAACTTTTTCATGGGGCCACGTTTGCAGCAATGAATATGCTGCCGTCTCATGATGCTGCCGTGGCTCTTTTGCCTCTTCTTTCTACGTGGAGTATACAAGTGGGTCGATCATTGCCGGTTATGGGTGGCGATGATGGGGGAACAAAGCGGAATATGGGTCATTTTGGAAGAGAGCATTGCAAACAACACCGGGTTAAAAATGTTGGGCGGGCCAAACGGATTAGGCTATAGGGGATCCCGAATTTTAGTTCAAATTTACCTTCACTCCTTTGTATATTGGTCTAGGGCTGGGCGGTCCATGGCATTGTTTTGTTCGTGTGTAGCTCCGCCATTGCCGGGTAGAGCAGCGTGTGGCGCCTCTCTTTTGATTCAAGGATTTCAATCCATAGTTTCTTATGGGAGCCCTTTGGATCATAGGACTTGGGTGATAAGATTACTATGGAATACGTTCATTTTCCCCTAATTCAATAGGAATCTTATGAAATCTCTTGACACTATCTTTTTCCTCCTTAAGAAGTCCAATGCACCTGCACTCCGTCACTCTCTCTCTCTCTCTCTCTACTCTCCCACATCAATCCTCTGAAATTCCCATGTTTTCTCCTGGAATCTCTTAACACTATGATGAATTCTTATGGAATCTTATGAAATCTCTTAACACTTTTTGTTCCTTTAGAATTTTCTGGATTTTGATATATTATAGGAACTCATAGTACATGACATCTTAATCCTATGTTTTTTTTCCATTCCTATGTTTTCTACAACCCATAGGAGTGGGGATTCTACTTGGGGGGCTTCTATAGGCTTAAGCCTGCCCTCTAAAAATCCCATTTCAGCTAAATATACCACTTGACGATTATATTGAGGTGCTTTACATGCCACAATTACAATGTACTCCCTCCGTATCAAAATATAACACGTTTTTTGACACTGTCTGAGGGAGTACATGCTAATTAGGCTTAGAAACTTGATGTTTTGGGCCTATCCTTCATTGTCATGCTAGATCCGTCACTGGGTTTGGGGGAGACTAAAATAGAATTTGCCCAAAAATGAGTCGTCAGCCATCACCCTTCCCGGCAGCAGTTTTTGTTTGAATTCATTTCTTCATGCCAACAATCTTTGAAGTCTGACATTTCTCTCGCGGGGACATAATAGTCGTTGTATACAGTCATTGACAAATCACAGTTTTTTTTACCCAAACACACGCAACAATGGGGATCAAACGCCCATGCTAACCGGCGCCCTGCATACTCTCAAACATTTGGGCTCCCGGGAAACGGCGTCTCGTGCAGGTCGGCCGAAGGAGGATGGAACATCCGTTTGCACGTGAGAACACCATATTTGTCTCCCAAGGTAGGATTACTGTTGAAGTGAGGCATGCGGGCGGGGGTCCCATGTATCGATGCTCACAAAC